TAAGCCACAGAGGTACTCTCAGAGCAATAGAAGAGTTGCACTGACACCAGCAACACTGGGATGGTGCTCACTGTAGTTAAAGTAATTGCTTACTAATAAAGTGAGCGAGTTTTAACAAAAATGTACTTCCACTTTGGGCATGTAGTCCAGCTTTCCATAATGTTGTACATATTGACATACCATGAATATCATCTGTTCCCTCAACAAACTGCTGTCAACAAGAATAAATCACAGTCAAACAGCAGCAAGTTCGGCCACTATTTATCTAACTCTTAAGAGTAGCCAGGCTGATTCAAAGCCTTTGAGCTCAGCAAGGATTTTATATCAATGCACTTCAAGTACAGCTCACAAAGAACCACACAGCAATTGCAAAACACTCAACTGCTAATTTCTTTCTCACGTAGAGAAGTGGCTGTACATCCCTACAGGAATCCTTACACTGGTTTCTGTTCCCTAAAAGCAGTTTACCTTTTCCCTGAGTCTCCAGCAGAGCAAACACTCCCTCTGCAGCAGAGCTGAAAAATCTGTTTCTGTTATTGATGATGCTGGATGAGAAGGACATGGCATGGGTGAGGATGTTGACTTTCACCTTCCATGTGCCTCATTCATGGACAGCAAGGCTCTGTTTAAGCAACTTCTGTCTCACCAGTGTCCTTTGCAGACGGTCCACAGCCTCCATTCACACATCCAGTCAACAACACAGATTAACAACTCATGGAAGATGACAAAATAAGACTGGCGTGTAAAAGCAGGACAAAAACATAAGGAACAAGGCTAAGGAAAGTAGCAGGAGAGAAAGGAGAACAGCAAAGTACAAACCTAAGTAATACAACGTGCTTTGCTGGTACTCCCTTGGATGATGCTGCGCACAGTTGAGGAGGCAAAAATAGGGGTTTCAGGATTTTGATTTTTGTTTTGTAAGAAAACCATGCGCCACAAAGAAGGTTTTCTTGTTTGTTTGTTTTTTTTTTTTTTTTTTTTTAAATTGCAGAAAGTAGACAGCATTGATTAAATTCCAAAAGCAAAATCCTCCAAGGTAAAGATGGTTTCAGATTTAGAACTCTCTCCATTTTCCATACACTCAGGATAAAAGAATAACACAACTTTATAGACCAATTGCAAACTAATTTTAAAGAAAAACACATTAGTGCTGACCTTCAGACAGTTCCAGCACCCTGGAAACCCATGGATTCAGATCTGATCTTTCCCCGCAGTTTTCACTGTGGGGTACACAACCAGTCCTTGACACACATGCACATACAAAAAGAAAATCAAAATTCATTTTTCTCCCAGAAGCAGCTCCCAAACTCAGCGCTGTTTATCTACCTTCTCCAAATAGATTTCTATACGTTTGTACAAACTGAAAAGAAAAAAACCATATGAAGCAGCAGTCCTGCCCCAGAAATCAAGCTCTCAAACTGCCTGAAAATGCGAGACTTCCAAGATAGTCCCTTTTCTTTCTTGCAATTCCGTGACCTTGTGCAAACACTTCCTTGCTAAATGGCCTGATTCTCTCTACTCACCCCCAGTATCGTCCAATCACAATGCCACATCTTCAGGAGAGAGCCTGAAGGTTATGGAATGTATTTGGTTAAATCCCACCACTTAACGGATCCATTTAATGGTAATCTCAGGTGTAAAACTTGAGATGCAAATATCACATTCAGAAATGTATTTTGAAGCAATAGCCACACAAGTCTATGAAAGGATGATGATAATAGCGAGTGCTTACAGCAAATGGTATTGTCCAAATTGATATCGTATCTTATACTCAAAAGGTCTGAACAGAAGCATCTGGGCATCGTGGCAGAGTTAAAAACAAGCCCATCGAAAATGGATAAACAATTAAAAATGTATTGAAAGAAGAAAGAAAAAGAGAAATCATTCCTAATTAATTCCAGTGCCCTGTACAACCCCAGACTATTTGTAATCCTACAGGGAACATCTTTATTGATCTGGGGGACGCTGCAGCAGACTTCTGATGCTTATCTCAGCATAAAAATAGGCTCTTGTGATGAGCAGTGATTTAATTACATGACAATCACTGCTAACAATGCATGGCGAATACCAAAAATATGCAGAGCAAGAGTGGCAGTGATAAATGCAAGGGAATGGCAATGACTTTCAGTAAAGTCGTCCATTGCCAGACATGGAGGGAGACTTTCCCCCATCCCTGCAAGGAGCAATATATGGTTTTGCTATGCACAGGCTTAGGCCCTCAGAAGCAGTTGTCCTACATGACAATGAGCACAAAGATATTCGGATTCCATCTTTCAGATATAAATGTTAAAACAGAAGCAGTAGAAAGGGTTTGCTCAAGAAATAAAACAATGCATTTAGGTTTGTTTGCAAGTACCGACTCTTTGGTTCTTATCACCTTCAGTTGGTAGGTGACAGGTTAACATAATTCAATATTCCTCCTGTTGACAGAAAAACTTACCAAAGCGCAGGGATAGAGAGCCAGAACGTTTCTTTGTTCCTCTGCTATAAATTTGATCAAAACATGAGTGTAAATGGGAAACACCTAGCTAAGCACTCCCTCAAGCACTCCTTACATCCATCTACCCTTCATTTCATCAAAGCCCAGAGCACAATCCATCCTTCATGGACTGGAGGCCACTGTAAATGTCAGTTGAGCACACGGCTTCACAGAGCCATTGAACAGCAGTGTGAGGGGCAACCTGTTCACATCCAAACCTGAACATATTTGTGTCTAGAAGACCCAGATCCAAATGCATGTGTCCAACCTACAAGCAAGTCTCTTACCTCTGTCTGCAAAGAGGTCTGGAAGAGGTTGGAAGGATGGTTGTGCTAAGAAAGCAGCTCAGATGAAGTTTAAGCTGGCCGATCTTCTGGCTTTTACTTTCTTCCTCTCTCAGAGGCACATCATCTCGTTCAGCCAAGAGGGAAATTGCAGGTGTTCAATCCGACACAGGAAAACTGATTGGCAATGTTCCCCCACGTAAAATTTAACAAGAATCACCAGCCCTCGGGTTAGAGCCATGCTGAGAACTTGAACTCCTGCCCGCCCAGGTGCTGCTGCTGCTGCAAACACCGAGCCCTGAATGCCACCTCCTGCTGCCCTGTGCTCAGCTCCATGATTCATGTCAGAGGAGCACATCACTTATTCAAAACAAAATGACCTTCTACATGCTGCACTGTTTTAAGCCAAAGCAATACAGAGGAAAGTAGATTAGAAATTGTATCATCTGGAGGATGCTTGTTTTTTTCACTCTGTTATTTCTAAATGCTTTTGAATATTTACACTAAGCAAAACATACTGTTTACTCACATATCCTTTGGAACTACATAACTGCTGCTGCTGCTGAGGGTCTTCTCCATTGATAAAATTGTTGGCAGACATTTTATCCAAAAATCTTGGAATTTCACCTGGTTTAACTTATCCTAAAGTGAGAACAATTAAAACACTCCATTTGCAATACAGCAGGTTAACAATATGTAGTACCTCAGCTCTCTTCCCAGTTGCTAACTTTCAGGATGCTGAAGAGCAGATATGCTTATCGTGTCTCTGTGTGATTTGAAGGGGTAGATGCACCAGGGCACTGACACGTGTAGCTTTAAAGATAAAATACAAGTACAGTATTAAGTCAGAAGAGGATTCACTTCTAATACATACCACAGTCTCCAGAGTCAAAGCTAACATTTCCCAAACAGTCTATCAGCTTAGTTTAAAGGACGGAGAATCTAAAGGTTAAGGCTTGATTAAAATGTATTTTGTTGATTTTTTTTCCTAACCCCTCAGAGCAGCCAAATTCCTTCCAAGTGTGAACCTATGGAGCTGATGGGAAAACAACTCCAGTTGTGGCAATTCCTGCAGGATCAGGCCCTACAAATAAAAGCTCAACCAAACAAAGTAGCCCCATGTAGAGTACAGGAAATTAAATGGCAACTCTCCATTTTCCAGAGGGACTACCCAGTCCTGGGAGCTATTAGTACTGCAGGCAGTCAATTAGCAGGAGCCTAATTTCTAGGGATGAGCACTTCCCCATGCAAATGAAGGTAGGTCTGCAGGGCAACAGCCATAGGTGTGAACCCCAGAGCAGCAAGGCTGAGCCCAAGCTTTCCATCGCTTTGTGTGGGAGAGGACTGAGGGGGAGCAGAGAGGAATGCAAGAGCTGAAGGTTAAAACTGCAGCTTTGCAAGTAGGAAAGAAAAGGCGCTTGTGACATTTCCACCAACTGCTTTATTCAGTTGTTTGCTTGCTTTCCACAGTGTGCGTTTCAGTGACCGAGTTCTCCTGACAGTGATCCATAAGGGAGCCGAGTCCTCGTTCTTATTCAAGATTAGTCCAGAAACCAACTTTTAGCAGCAGCTTATGTTTGGACAAACACAAGTACATATTTCATTTGCACACGTATGTCAAATCCAGACATCTACATATTTTGAAGACAGTAGACATGTTTGGTCATATGCTATCAACAAATCTCCGTGTTCCACAAGCTACAGCAGCCCAAGGACCCACAGATAGATTCACATTTGTGAATGCCTTCTGGTCTTAGAGAAATTAGAATGCAAATGTACATCTTGTGGGACTCAAATGACTGCCGTAAATTAAAAACATAAGTTTATAATTTCCATGCTATACAGTGTATAGATTAACAATGTAAAAAACAATAATTCCCATGGGCAGATGGACACTCAGCTACATAACAACTGGTATTCTGGCTTCAGGAATCAAATGAAAAGTCTGAATAAAGATTTTGATTCCTTCAGTGGGCAGCAAATGCACCTAACCCTCTTTTGCCCTTGGGAGGGGCAAGGAAATCCCACCCAAAGGTTTAAAAGCAGGTGGAGTCTCTCTTTACCTTATCTCCTTCAGCAGCACAGAGTCCGCTTCAGGTAACCTCAGGTGTTGGTACACTGCACTGTCAAGTGATGTACTTGCTCACCTAGCCAGATACTGAATAATAGAGATCAGTAAGCATTTTACAAGGATGAGAAATATATGTCCTAAACCAGATAAATTAAAAACATCACCATAACCTCAAATGTTTATTGCATTTCAAACAGTATTTATCAAAACAAAGAGCTCATTACAACATTTACACATACTGGGCCATCCAAACCCCTTCATTTGATATGCCTCCAGCACAACAATCTAATACAAATTATTCCAAAACACACATCTATCTATCTATCTATCTATCTATAAAGACATCACCCTGTCTCCTGAACAGAAATCAAATGTGAAGAAATCTATAGGGGAAAAAAAAAAAAAAAATCACTATTACAATATCAGTCTCAACTTCTGAATAAATAAACGTTTGCTGCAGCTGAATATTTTCACTCAGATCAATGATCTGATTTCACAGGCCTGCTTAAATATGTGGGACTTTGGTCCACAAAGCGACAAGACTACAGTATGATAAACTGGATGATAGTCTCAAGCGAGACAACGAGGCATTATTTACACAGAAGATTGAGAAACCAGTTTAACAAAAGAGATCCGTGGACATCCATTGTATGTACAAGAAGGAGATTTACTGGAGATTTTATAATTTCTACAAGACTCTTTCCAACCGACTTCATTAACTTGAAGTAAATCAAATCATGCAGAGATCTGGCTCAGCCAGAGAGACATGCCGGGAACGGTACAAAATGAAGAAGAACAGACACAAGATAAGCTTTAGAATCTTTGGCATTTTTCATAAACATTTTCAAGGTTTTTAAATCTGTATGTTCAATCACTTTCCCACACGTCCTCACCTATAAATACATTATACATGTACTCTTCTTTATACATAACTGTGTACATGCATGGGTACACAAGCACGCGTCACACAAAGAGGCATTTTTACACTATTTTAAAGTGAGATAATCTTTCTTCTGTCTCTTCATACGCACCTAAACAGAGCTTTACATGAGCAAAACACATTCTTTATCACAGAGACACTGATCTCCTCTCCCTGGTAGCCCACAATAGGACCCATGAGGATAGCACAGAGGAGACTGAGACTGGACATCAGGAAAAGAATTTTTTTTACCACGAGGGTGGTCAAACACTGGAAAAGACTTCCTAACAAAGTGGTTGATGCCCCCGGGCGTGTCAGTGTTCTAGAGGCATTTGGATAATGTCCTTAATGATATTCGTGAACTTTTGGTTAGCCCTAAAGTTGGGCAGTTGGACTTGATGTTCTTTGCGGGTCCTTTCCAACTGAACTATTCCATTTTAAATCAAGTCTATGAACATATGCCCTCATGATCCAGTGGCATAGAGGGGATTGTTACTTTGGAAAAATAAACACAGAAAAATCATTGAATCCAGTTATCAACCAAGTGAAAAATACTCTGATGTTAGTTTTTTGCACCAAATTCACACATCAAGCCCTCAGGTTTGCATCATCAAATGGTGCAGCACCATTTGGACTGCCGATCCATAAGCAAAGCTTTACCTGTTTTACCTTTAATTAGATGACTTTCAAAGTATAATTTTAAAAAGCAACTTGTGTACCAGGATTCTCTTTGTTTGTAAGGTGAACCACCTGAGGTGATGCTGGTGGAAACACCTGCCTGGAAATGGCAAGAACCAAGCCCCAGCTCTCGTGCTAACAATGACACATGGGGACAAGTCACAAGTCACTCCCACAAAGTCCTACAAAAGGTTGAGGAATGCACTCTCAAGAGAAACTGAGCAGGTTTACACAATTCTCCACCTCAGTTTCCCAAGGCAAACAACATGGATTATGCTGGTTATGTGAATTTTACAAAGCAGAACAATAGCTAAAAGATCAAAGCAAGAAACCACATTTCCCTCAGAAAATTGGGTCCTTTCTCATGTTTCTTCATTGCTCACTTCCCATATAACTTCATTTTCTGATCCTTTCTTTGTGGACTCCAATGGAAATCAGCGGGAGACCAACACCTGCCCCCCCTATTGCACAGCCACACCTTTGGGCACCACGTACTCTTTCTGCACCAGCACTTGTTTCTTTAAGGCAATAAAGTGTTTTTCTCCTGGATCTGTAGTGTTGACCCCTCTGGATTTAGACAGAAAAACAAGAGCTGTGCTGAAAATATCTGATGAGATGGAGTTATAAAAGGCAAGTCAACAGAGTCTTTTCAGGTCAGTGAGTTAGGCTTTTCTGCAGTCTCTTAATCCTTTGCAGCAGAAGGTTCTCATGCATCCATTGCCAGCAATGGATCTCTGATGAATCCAGTACCCAAATAGTTAACCACAGGGTGGGCATTTTTTTTTTTTTTTTTTTAAAGAAAAGGGAAAAAGGAAAAACCCACAAGTGCTGGATGAAATATTGAGATACTGCTGGAGCTCCTCACTCTGCTAATTATGATAAAAAACTTTTTAAAATGTACACTGCTTGAACAGAAGATGGGTATCAAAGACTCGTTAATTCAGAGCTTAAACCTTTCTAGGCACAGTGATTTAACTCAGAAAAGAATAGCTTTCATATCTTAATGTAAATCTGTTGGATATGTTAAAAACTGGTTCAGAGCATCTCCTCACATCAGCTCAGCTGATCTGCTATGCTAGGCAGAATTATTTCCTCCTACATAAAAAAAAAAAAAATGGAGCACTGCCACATCCAGCATACCCTCTACAATGGAAGCAAAATAAAAAATAAAAAGAGGGAATGCAGTGGCACCATACCCCCCCACACTACTCCCCACCCTACAAACTAATTCACATGTTTCACTCCGCTCTTTAGGAGCTACATCTTGGTGCCAAGAGACAGCCCAAAAAGACAACTCAAAACAGGTATTTATCAAAAAGACCAGCTTAAATAAAATAAAAACAAATAACAAACAAACAAACAAACAAAAAAAACCAACGAATTATTGTGTTGTTCTGAACTATGACGAGAAGGGGGGAAGCACGTGTGTATACATGGGGGGTACAGAGAGAGAGATGCTGCATTCCGAAATTGCACTTCATCCTATAGAGCACTCCGTTTCTTCCTAATGGGGCTGGAGCTGCTGTATGGTTTCAATTCAGCATGCTGCACCTGTAAAAACAAATAGACATGACGTTTGCAGCTAGGTAACTCTAGCTCAGTACAGCGTGCGTTAATGGCTCCCCAAGGACAAACCAAGGGAAACTAAGGAAGGTTCAAAAGTAATGAATCATTTTCTAAACACAGGAACATGGGGGATTAATTGCAGGAAGGATTTGAGAAGTCATGCATCATTTCTTGAAACAAAATATTAAAAGCAGATTTTTCTAATGAGATACATGGGGTTCTACCTAATTTCTGCAGCAGAGGAGAGATCTTTGGGTTTGTTTTGGTTTGGGAGCTGTTTTTCTTCTTCTGGCGTTAACCAATAAATAAGTTTAATCAACTTCTCTGAGGAGTAACAGATCAAGTGGATCCCAATATGCAGCAAAATGACTGTTGGCAAAATTGCATGCAGACCTTGGGATGTTTTAATATTTAATCATATCAAATTGAAAAATATTTTCTCAAATTGAGCCTGGACAAAAGCTACCTTTACCTTTCAAAACAACTTAATTTGCAATTTAATAGGTGAAACACGTATAGATAAACTGCGGAGGATCATGCAACCCCAACAGCAAATTGCCTTGATGTGCCACAGAGAAGTATTCCCATTGAGATCACAGAAACCTTTTGCTGTATGTGCCATCTTTTCCACTCTTGTCTTTCGCCTAGCACGTGTGGGTTAAAAGACAGAGGTGTTTTCCAACTCATTACAGTACCGCAGTGAAATGATGATGCATCAATAGCACGTTAAAGGAAGCAGACAGAAAGGATTTGGAGTTGCCACGGATGACTCCTCGCTGGAGGAGCGCGTGGCTGACACACAGGGTTCACTATTTTTAGCACCAGTGGAAAACTGCTCTGAGAAGGTTTGTCCCACCGAAGGAACTTTTATTAGTCCTCCCTCACAGTAAATGGTTATCATTTTCCTCAGAGGGTTCAAAGGTTTCCAAAATGATAGAAACCACTCAAGGAAACGTTATAAATGTAAATGTTAAATAAAGCATAAATAGAAAAGCAGCTTATCTTTAAATATAAACATTAACAGGGCATATGCAAACCATCACTGCAAATCTAGTGTGCTCTATGAGAGCAATGGCAAAAGAAAAAAAAAAAAAAAAAAACAACCAAAAATACACTCCAGCTTAACATCTGCATGATTATTCCTGTTTAGCTCTTTTGCTCCCACCAGTCTAAGAAGAGATTTCTCTCAAGTTATTAGTGCTGCCATCAGCCAATCTGGTGACCTCTTGAGATAAATGTCACCACAAGCCTTTCCAACCCTGTTTCTACCAGATGCTTCAACGCTGCATGGAGGCAATTATTTTTCAGTCTCCAGCAGAGTGAAATCACTACAGGCGAGATTGTGATCCCCTTATTCACAGTAAGCAGCACCTCACTGTGAAAGTACCACGATTCACAGAGGAAGGTACAATGTCAGTGGGCTCCAGAGCATCAGGATCGGGGCCTGAGGACAGAGATTCCAGTTGATTAAAACAAAAGAAAAAATCCTCTATATCATGTGCCTTGTTACTCAGCAAGACTATTCTCTTTCCTTCAGGAGAAATAAACAGATCCTGACATTCTAAAGGACTTATTGTTCAAATAATTTCCAGGAAGATTGGCAGGATTACTGAAGACACTCTTGTTGTTTCAAAGAAATATGAAAAGAGACAAGACTTGACTGAAATTGAGGGCGGATAGATTCTGGCTAGATTAAAAGTTATAATTCTGTAATGGTAGAAGACTGAACTCATCAACCGCAGAGTATTTTATACACATCTCAAAGCTTTCTCTAATGAAAAAGATGAGCTGAGCCTTGTCCAAGGGCAGCCTGGAGTTCAAGGTGGGTGGGGAGGAAGAATTTTGAGGGATGACTGATGTGAAAAAAAACACAGCGAGCACAAAGTCATGGAAATAATCCCCCCACGCTCGATTTTGAGAAAAGGGAGAATTCAGAAAGCTTTTGGATGGTTATCTCCATCAAAGAGACTATTTTTCTCTTTCCCCCATACAAATATAGGAGCAGAAAGGTGACGGAAACCATGGTTCAGTAACCACGCTGGATGATTTTCCAGATCATTTTTAAGTAAGTCTTTTCAGGATAATTTTTCTGCAATCACGCTTCTGACAAAGGATTCTGGCTCCTCTCTCTTGTGACATTCCCTTCGGGGGCCCCCCCACCCTCCATGGATTTTCCCAATCCCTTATCTCAGTTATTCAAAAGTGCAGGAGCATTGTATTCCCTAACCCAGCCGCCCTCAGAGCTGCTCGCTGCCTCTGTTGGTGCTGCCCATTTCATTACATACCTTTTGAACATCAGATGGTACCCTGGAGAGGAAATCTAGCAGCTCATTATTATCGATGGCATAGGGATTTCTAAGTTTCTTAGTAAATTTATTTATGCCTGGAAAAATAAAAGCAAACAAAATAACTCATTTGTATCTCCCTCCCTACTCAACTGTTCAGATGAGGTGAAAAAGGGAAGAAGAATTCACAAGTAAAAATTAGCGTGAAAGCGGCGCCTCAAACTTCAAGCCATGCACACATTGCCAGTCATGTGGGATCATTCACAAGTGCCTCCTGAAAAAAGCAGGTTTATACAGCCATTTCCCTACTTTGGGAGAAATCTGTTATCAACAGGGGGGCAAAAAAAGAGATTGTAGCATGCATTCATTCTGGAGGGTAACGTGGGGAGAATATAACCAATTTGCCACTGAGATGACTGTTAAATCCACTATCCCTCATGAGCAAAGACACCCGACGCCCTGCTGCTTCCCCACTAAGAGATCAGTATGGCTATCTAAAGGCATAGTAGAAGAGGAGAGTGTCATTGAGCAGAAGAGAACAGCCAGCTCACTTCAAAGAACAGCCAAAAAGAAAATTCATATGCTAACAGCCTCCAACAATCGTAATAGAGCACTGAATCCTATTACACTCTTGTCCAAAATCCCATACTAGTCTCCCCGAAAGTAGTTTAAAATGAGATGGCTGCTCCAGCCTTCTCCCCTCGGTGAAATGTTCCTGCTTCACATCTGAGATGCAGCTCTTAAGCCATATACTTGTAGCAAAATGCCAACACAATTTTCTGTGTACCTGATTTTTAAAAAACAGAAAATACCATAAGGTCTTTTAAGGCCTTGCCACAGGGTAGTTGTTTAACACGTATCATATTTGAAGGCCCTGTCAGTCTAGATGATGTTGAATGGATGTATAGTTCTCGTGTGTTCACCATGTCCTCCATACCAGAACAACAGTATTTTGCTACAGAACTTTTTACTCCCAGCATTTTCTCCCCTTTCTTTTGTTTGATTTAATCCCTTATTTCTTTTTTCTCCTACAGCAGTGGCTCGGGCTTGACAGGGTGACAGGAGCTCCCTACAGCCCAGCAGTGCACCAGGGCAGAGCTTAGCAGTTTGGTGAGGACTACCTTCAGATTGAGATAAAAGATAGCACGATAAAAAAGACAGAAAACCACTTAGAGTTAAGGACAGACTTCTGCAGTTGAAACATGCTTTTTTTGTTGTTGCTCTTAAAGACCACCTCCTCTTCAGAACACTACCAGGCACTTTTTCATATTTGAAAAGCCCCTCTTTTGCTTCATCCCAGTAAATCAATAGACTTTCACACAACCATTCATGCTCCAAAGATATTCTCACTGCTTCCCATTGGACCGCAGGTTATTAAGCACAACGCTCCTCCGGATTTTGCTAAGAATCAAACGGCTGCCAGAGCCCTGGCCTCCATGGTCCAGCTCTTCAAACACACCTTGCCCACTCCCTAACATTTCCCAGCTGGGGGCTCCAGCACGAGGAAGCTAACTGCTTCCTAATAATAATAATAACAATAAATGAAAATAGCTTATCTACACTTATGTGCCTCTTGAAACTGCTGAAAACTAGCAAAGAATCCTATGAAAAGAAGATCACTGGATGGCTCAGGGAGCACAAGAAAAAATATGAAGAGGTTCATAGCATATTCATTCATCTCTAAGTAAAAGCAACTGAGTGTAGCAGGTAACGTAAAGACTGATTTAATTCTATGAATACATAATGCATTTATTGCATGTGTACGAGAGACAGTGGAGTACTTACCCCAGATTAAAATAATGTACCTCAGTGGTATAAAGTACAAAATGACTGTTGCTGCTGCGAGGAACAAGCAGGCCAGAATTGAGAGAAAGGGCACCGTCCAGTTCAATGTGCTGTAAAGAACAACATTTCTCAGTATTTCTACACCGTGCTTTATGGCAAATAACAATTTAATGACCTCTTTGCAAGGTTTTACACATGCAAATACACAAATACACTTTGGAAAGTGGGTAAGCGGAGTCCTGCACCTGGATGCTGTAAGGGATTAAAGGTGATATCTGAGAGGCAGATATCAGGGCAAGGAGAGAGGATAGCCTCAGGGGGGCTTGGTGAAGTTGTTAGCCACGCAGTGAGTTGTTCTTGTTTCTTCTTATACTTGTCGCACTCGTTATACATCTCTGTTCACCAGTCAGCTCTCCATTATTCATGGGAAGATTATCTGATTTGAGAGAAGACTACGCTACAGGTGCAAGCCATCTGAGCTGGCTCTCCTGGACCACAGTGGAGATGACATGAAAAGGGTGTTGATGCATGACTTGAAAGTGGCAGGTAGCCAGAGTCCACTCTGCCAGTAACTTGGAATGGATAAATTGCAACTAACACTAAACCTTAGAAGAGTAGTTAGTCACTTCTCTGCATAGTACTGGGGAATAATATTCCACACAAATACATCTCAATAGGTACACACTTCCTTCTATTTTCTTACATTTTTATCAATTTTCTACTACACTGAATGTAGGAGGCTGCCTCAGGTCAGCTATCGTATGTTATCAGCAGTCCAAGCCTTTGCACACTGACACTTTTGCACATGGGCTCTCAGTCACCACAGGAATTTAGACTTGTAGCACATACAGAAGACATTTCCTTTCACCCATATCATTTACATGTAAGCTTACTACGTACTTTGGGTTATCAGCTATTAGTAATATATCCTAGCAGGTACTCCATCAACACGTTCTGTATCACCAAACACTGAGACACCTGGAGACAATATGAACATTAATTAGTCCGTAAGTGGATTTACAGGTCTTTGCCCATAGAAGCTGTGGGTGCTCCATCTCTGGAGGTGCTCAATGTCAGGTTGGATGGGCTCTGGGCAGCCTGATCTAAGGCGTGGTAACCAGCACACAGCAAGAGGTTGGAGCTCAATGATTTTTCAAGTCCCTTCCAACCCAAGCCATTCTATGATCTTAGCATTCATTTCATGCCATCTACCTGCTAATTTCATCACGTCATGATGACAGGGAGTAGGAAGAAGAGAATAAATGTGGACCAGTCATCAGGCTACAAAATGACATGAACTTCTCTTGACCAATAAAATTACTAGTACAGGAGAATAATTACTTTTAAACTTCCCCAGATGTAGTAACTAATAAGTAAAAATAGGTGAGGGAGAAGCCATCAACATAGCTCAAGTAAAAAAAAAAAAAAAAAAAAAAAAAAAACAAGTAGCAAAACAGCTCAATTCTGTTAAAGTAGTAAAATTCCCTATGATTGCATAACTAGAGTGACAGATGGAAACTGCAGCACAATTCAGTCTGTCACTTACAAAAAATTTTTGGTGGCAATTCTTTAATGGTGCATTTCTGTTGAGTTACAATGGAATTCTTCTGAAATTACATTGGGCCTCCACATTAATACCCAATGTGTTCTTTAAGACCATTGTCACCAAAATGAATACAAGAATTAATAGTGAGTCTTCCTGCCATGCAGCTGGGCAGAACACTGCTCCGTTCATAGACTGGAATACATCTCTGGGCCACTTCCACCCCAGCTGGGGTGCACGGCGTGGAACCACAACACATGGGTTTGCTGTATTTTTAGCCTGAACCCGGCTCCTCATTAAAGTGTGGCTCAATCACAAACCATCACTTTGTGCTCAAAACAGAAAACAATGTGGGTCAATGAAGTGCCAATAAAGATTGGGTTATAAAAGATTGTATGAGTTTGTGTGGGGGACTTTCCTTTTTTTTTTTCTCTCTCTTTGGCTCTTCACCTCTTTCCCTTTCAGGGTCAGGAATACCCTATGTGCCTCCCATTGTGACAAGACCAGAAAACTGCCTTCAGGCTTCCTTATGGCATCAGCAGGAAGCAGAAAGCCCAAAATGGTAGAGAAGAACATCAGTGCACTGTAGATGGAAATAAATGACTGATAACTCCTGTAACCAGGGTAGGGAGGGCATGAGAAAGGCAATACCCCATTAGTCCCCTATGTATTTTCTATGGAGGAAATACAAAGAAAAACCTGATAGTTCTGAGTCCACAACTTCAAGCAGTATCTCCCATCACGACTCCATCACAGACAGACAAGATCAGAAATCTGAGCAGATGGACACTGTGAGAGCAATACCAGCAGAGCACACAGTCTCTCCTCTTCTCTATGCTTTGGGAACATTTTCAGAATAGAAATTCCATGGCCAGGCTTCTCCTGCTTCACCTTGCAAGAAAATTCACCCCAGCTCTGCCTCATTGCAAATCACTGTTAAGCAAGAAAAATCCATCACTTACTTTTTAATTCTCTCTCCAAACGACGCAATTTCCTCTAGAACGCTTTGAACAGCTACGACAATCTCTTGGACCATGTGGATTCTGTCAATTAATCCCTTTTTCTCAGATTCCTACTCCCCCCCCCCAAAAAAAAGCAAAACATTAATCTCAGTATTTGCTAACGTGTTCACAGATGCGTGAGAAAAGTTAGATTCCCAATACTACTTATGTATCCATGAACTTAAGCATATCACTGAAGGGAGGAGAGAAAACATTTATTATATATAATGAATACGAAGGCAAATAACTCCTTACATTTTCATTCTTTCCCTCAGCACCTGGGCAGAGGTTTCTTTATCTTCTAATGCAAAGTTCAGGATTTCAAGCCAGGCTTTCACTGAAGAACCCAGCTATATGTCAACCCAAAAGAGGTGCTGAGCACCCCTCAGCCCATAGCTTCTGAATATCACTTTTCTGAGCTTTGCAAACTTCCAATAGTCATGCTGTTTTCTGTACATAAATTAGCAGCAAGATAATGAATGCAACCTTTTTTTTTTTTTTAATCGTTCTGCATACTTATTCCCTTACTTGGGGGGAAGAAAAAAGAATCAAAGGAAAGAACGACATTTTCTTTTTAAAGCAGTCATCTCACAACTTCATTTCTTACTGCTTATTTTAGGCAACAACATTACAGGACATTACTACACATGTGCAAGAATAAAAAGGAAGCACAGAATGAATTAAAAATCAAAATGACTTAAATCAGCCTTGGAAATCAGTATACAATTATCAGCATTCAGCATTTCTTTGCCAGCAATCTAACACACATACAGGCATGCAAATTGGTGTGGTTGCAGATATTCTAGCAAGAAATCAGCAAAACATTCACTTATTCCAAAAGGCAGAGCCCTGGACACTGATTTTACATCACATTTAGACTCTCCAAAACCAGCTCCATTTAGAAAAAAAATATTACTTTTTTTTTTTTTCAACCAGTCAGCATTCAGAGAGGGGAGATGGTGGTGGTTGACTGTGGTGGTACACTGCAAGTCATGCCCATGTTCTCCTGGAGGTGCTCAAGGCCAGGCTGGAGGGGGCCCTGGGCAGCCTGACTGAGTGGGGGCAGCCAGCCCATGGCAGGGGGTTGGAGCTCAGTGATCTTTAAAGTCCCTTCCAACCCAAGCCATTCTGTGATTCTATCCTTCTCTGCTGGCCAGAGTACGTGGGAGTAAGCAGGGACCAGAGACACTGAGAGCAACACTGCCTACAATTCTCCCCCTGCCATGAACCCACAATATTTTGCTGTGCAGGAGAGAGGGTCAGAGGTTACTTGCAGTCACAATGGGCCACACAGAGGTGAAGTCTCACTGCTGCAGGCTTTTGACACTATCATGCCATGAGAGGGTCTCTATGCATCTGAGAGGGCACTGCCCTACATCTGTGTGTGCTGAAATAACATATGAACCGTCCTTGGATACTAAGAGCCAGACATGACAGCACGGCCCTCATAACCCTTAAAAGCCAAGGTTTGAATTACTTACTGCATATTTCTCTTCACAGTAATTTTTGAGTTGAAAAAGCCAGCCAAAACCACCATGGAGTTATCAAGCTCCAGATATTTGAATATTTGCCTTTAGGTTGCAAGGGAATGCACAGTAAATAGAAGCAGGATTTTTAAATAATCACACATTCGGGTGTGAAAATGAGTATTTTTACATTAATAAAACAACCAACAACAAAAAAAATGAAACCCCTGGGGTGTGAAATAACCCCAGAACTAAATAAATAAATAAATAAATAGTCAGCTCGTGAAAATAGCACCAAAAAGTCATTTTCACACAGCTCCAGCTATGACCTTGCTAGGCTCAAATGTAAATGACACATTAGGATTATTTTTAACTATTCCTTCACTAGAATGGTGCAACGGTCGCTTAGTCATAATTGGCTCTTACACACCAAACTCGCCAGTAGAAGTTGAGAGTAGTATAGCAGCCGGTGGGGATTTCATTCTACCCCAATGCAGACAGGTGGGTAAAGGAATCACTTTAGATGATATTCAGTGATATTCCAAGGCAAGCCTACTCTTGCTACCCACAGCTGAAAGGAAGATTGTCCAACAACTCCATCTGCATCATGCTGGCTTCATTTACACATTTTCCACAGAGCACAGAAACACAGCAATAATGCACTTTAACCAACACCACCTAACTCCTGCTGCAGACGAGGAAAACAGAACAGGAACCACAGGCTCATGGGACAAAAGGACAATTGTATATTTATCCTTACTTAGCATGTACACTAAAATCAATCCTAGACAATATGCTTTTTTTCAATTTGTAACACAAAATCTACGCAACCAAGGAATGGGCAGAGGTAGTTAAGATTAGAAAGCATTTTAATTGAGCTCAGTTGTTGGAGGATAATCTGTGCTAGATGCCACTCGTGCTCTATGTGCATTGCACTGCCAGTGCCAAAATAATCTGATATCTGTCAATATCTTTCCTTTGTTATTATTTTGTTCTGGAAACCTGCAATCCACACATTTACAGGATGATTAGGCACTGGTTAAGCAGGAGAGAAGCAGACAAATAAAGCACAACAAGTAGGATCTTCCAAATTATTTAAGCTGTGGAGCACTGCGTATGCATGCTTTCTGAAGTCAGAACCTCAAAGAACACTGTCAGAAGCAGAGAGAATAGTTGTAGTCCATCAAGAACAGAGTCGCTGCTCCATATTTATTTATAAATGAGCAACTGCCATACAGAAAGTTATAAACCTAGCATTAAGATATTTGTTAAAGATGTAAAAATTAATCCTAAATTCATCGTCCGCTCTACTTTTCTGTCTGTGCAAGGTCCCACCTCCAGCACAGGTAATTGTGCTCCCTCCTTTTCAGATATTGCTCCTCTCTGAATTGTTTTGGACTCAATGTATTAATGCTGCTGGAAAACAGGATTTGGATACCCATGGTTCAAAACCAGAGCTCTGAAGCATTTTCTTGAATTTAAAATAAAATATCCTGCCTGTTTCTCACACTTTTTTTTTGTCCCTAAAATCATTCGTGAAACTTCCTTTCCTTCAAGGCCTTTTTCTTCTTTATTTCTTAGCTGATTACAGCACTGTGGGTGGACCAAAACCAGTCTGCTGCCTCTGGGAAAGAATTAAGTCCATCAAAATGAACTTACAACTGAGAATTAATTATATAATCAGTGTGTTACTTCAAATCTTCCTTGCATATCCCGATTTAAGAAACTTTCATTTCTACATTAATTGCCTGAACAAAAACACAAAAGGGGTCTTACAGAAGATTAAGCATGTCAGCGGAAGAAGGTGAAGGAAAAAAAAAAAAAAAGCAAGAACCCAGCAAATTCACAAATTAAGCCTTTTGTGTCCAGTTAATGCACATCAGCTTGAACTTCCACATGAAGACACCAAATCTCTCTCTGCCCCGCTGAATGAAAAGTACTTCTAGATTTTTCTTTCTGAAATATACAACGGTTAACAATCTGAACATAAGGGGTTACTGCATCTCTCTGATCTTTTTTTTCCTTTCCCAGCAATGCTATCCCACTCCCAGACACTCAGGGACAGTTGCAAAAGAAACTCACATGACAACAAAATTGATGCACTTCCAGTGACAGAGACTTTGAAAGTGCATGAAATATGGGGCAGGCCAAGAGGAGCCATCTCCAGCATTAACACATCAATTCACCACCAGTGAGCTCCAGTTGTCAGAGCTGGGACTGCAAGGGAAATCAGGAAACCTATGGAGGAAGAGACTGAGGACAAAAATTACCCATTGTTTGCTCTGCACCACAGCCCAAACAATGCTACTTACTGCTGCTTCTCCAGCAAAGTATTCAGAGCTGAATTGAAAACATGGATGGTAGAGATCTGCTATTTCTTGCAATCCTGATTTCCATGATTAATAACTGCCATCTTCACAAAGGCTAAAAGCTGTTCCCTATTTTTTAAATCTGTCCCTCAGAGTTTGCTCTGGATACATCCAAAAAAAGTAAAATGCAAGGATGTTTTGCCATGCTGTTTTATAAGTGCATTTTTCTTTATGTATATCGTAGGTATTGTATGCAGACAACTGAAAATTCAGGCATGTACTCACAATCAACTTCTAAATGCTTCATATTTAATACAAAACGCTTACACAAAATGAAATCCTGCTTGCAACTTTCAGACAAGTGGTATTCATCAGCAAATTTCTGGCATGCCAAGGGAAACTCAATATATAAAGCTGAAGAACACTTGGGGGCAAGGATGAGGAATAAGAGGAGGAGAGAGAATAAATAGGAATTAATACAAAAGGAGGAAGAAAGCAAAACGCAGGCCACCAAGTCAGGACTGAAAATCTGGAATTAGAAGAGTCAGTCTGCCTCATTTGGGCTGACCTAACCATCAGGATTAGCTTTTTTTTACAGCTATTCTGTTACATTACCACTGCTACAAACACATTAGGGCAATATTTTGGCAGGATTCACCCCTATGCACCAGATATGAATTCCCCAGCACATTGATAGCAAAACAAGATCGAGAAAAAAAGGAAAGAAAAAAGCTGAGGCACACATGACTTTTAGTCTGCTATTCTTCTTCGTTTTGAAAAAGATGCTGTAGTTATTCAGAGAAAAAGAGAAGTAACTGAAGTTGGATTTCACTTGCAACATAGAGCCATAGAATCATTTGAGTTGAAAGGGACCTTTAAAGGTCATCTGGCCCAATTTCCCTGCGATGCACAGGGACACCACCTACAGCTCGAGCAGGTTGCTCAGAGCCTGGTCCAGCCTCACTTTGAACACGAAACTCCAAACTCACTGCTGTCTGCCAAGACTCCTATCACACATCTTAAGGCCAAAAAACTCATAGATCACAGATGAAGAACTTCTGCAACTAGAAAGATTTTATTGGGCATAAATAGGAGACCACTGTTCTCTACTGTCTATAGGGAACTGTTAGCTAACAGCTTCAGTCCAGCAGCAGAATGAAGCTGTTGTGAGAGGTGGCAGTCATGAAAGTCCCTTGGTAGCTCAAATGAATTCCAAGCAGAGCTTTGAAAATAGACACCACAGCAACCTTGAACCTCCTGCTTTCCATAGGAGCTAAGGGTGGCTGTAACGATCCC